AAAAATGAAATATAATTTAGAACCTCTCTAAATAGTCAGATTCCATTTATCGATCTGTGACTTTAATGTGGTAAGTGATAGGATTTGAATAAGAACGAATCTGTGCTCTATTTATAATATACTTCTGTAAAGCAGTAAAATAAAATAAACACCAATACACAAAGGATTGATCCTTTTACCGATATCCAATAAAAAGACAGATTTAATTATCGGTGATGGATAAAAGATACTTACGTCCATGGAAAAATAGGAATAATCGTAGTTGAAACTCTTAACCGCATCTTTGCTGCCCGGTGGTGCCTTGGGGTTCAATATTGCTGGAACACGCAAAGGAGGGAATTGATAATACAGGAGGAAGCTTATAATTTAGGTTACTTGCTTGTATTTTTCTTTCAACTTCTTCTGCATTATAAATAAATCGTGATTCTTGGACAAGTTCCATAAAAACTGAATTAAAAAAGTGCAAACTTTTTCTCTCTATACATACTGATCTAAAGATACAACAGAAATCAACAGATATGAAACAACCAGATCGATAGATAAATAACAAGATTAATAAAATACGTGTGTCACGTTCAAATAAGATCAGAGGCAGATGGTTATATAATAAAGAAAAAAAAAAATGACTATAAATATACGAACGTGGAAGTAAAACGTCAGTAAAACGTGTGAAAATTGACAGAAACTTTAATTGTATCGCGAAATCTTGCGACAAGACTATTATACACTGATGAGTCAATGTAGTCTTCGAAGTTTATCCAATATTAAACTTTCCCTTAGATCCATTTGCATTTTACGAGACTTAAGGAGTTGCTTCGTTCGATTCGTGACACATCAAACTTATATGAGGAATTGCATTGAATATTGAGTAAAAAAGTTTCACCAAAAAAAAAAAAAAAAAAAAGCCAAAATTTTCATCTCGTCATTTAACGTAACAAAACCTCGGTCGCTCTATACGAAATACAATCGCGATAATTGAACAACGAATCGATGACGAACAAACACCTGTGTAAATTCGACAACTGTAGAAGCAATTGTTCTCGATACGGAAAACATGACAATTATTTTGTTATTTTCCTTAGAAAGGGGAAAGAAAGGAGATGATAAATAAGTAATCAGGCCATGATACAAAAAGAAAGAAAGAAAACATAGGGTCAAATGTTCGAGTGAACATCAGTATGGAGGTATGGATTAATTATACTCACAAGTGGTACTGCCGGACATTTCGATGATGCATTGTGCCTCACGGGAGATCTCCCGATTATTAAAGGGCCGTACCCTCACCGCCACCTTTACCGACGACATCTTCCTTCCTGTTTTCAATTCAGCGTCGGATCACGACGGCGGCGGTGCTGGCGGATTGACTTTTTTTCTCGTTTTCTCTGTGGCAATAAAGAGGCATCGTTAGCGAGGCTGGCAGAACGTGGAAGAAAGACATGATTGCTAGCTCCATTCACTACCGACCACGCGCTTCCCTTAATTGTAATGTTCTTTCAAGATGATCTTATTCGATGATAAATCGCTAAACATTTCAGGCGGAACGTCTAAAGAAGAACGAAGCGGTGAGGAATAATAACTGAGAAAAAAATTCTTCAAACGCATAAATGTATAAATTCTAGCAGTGTGTTCCACGAAAGGATGAAGAGATCGTGGTCATTCATTTCTTCGGCATCCATTTTTATTTTACTCGCATTGTTCTGTGCCAATTCATCTTACAGGCTTAAGAAAAAAAAACAGGTTAAAGTAGAGAAGTACAACTCGTTTCAATTGGAGAATTCCTCGTCATCATGTTCTTCTTCTAATCGAACATTAAAAAAACATTTGATACTGTATGAATATATCAGAAAATAATTAATACATAAATTGTCGTTCAAAATGGAGAGATATCTCTTCCACGAACTCGTATGCGCATAATTCTCTTCAATTCGTACGAGTCGAGGCAAATCTTTGAATATTAATAAATCTACAACAAGGAGAAAGATGGCAAACGTATCAACGTCGAAACAGTTTGATTGAGTTTATTATGGCGTATTTCATTAAACCGTAATCGAATATCAACGACGTCACGAGCTTCATAGCGTCGTCAATTATCTTCGAACAAGAGTAACAGCGTATGGCGTTGAAAATCGATATTCACTGACAAAAGGTTCGTCGATCGATGGATAATTATCTCTCTATATAGGAATACAATCGAGCCAACAAATATCAAACGAACCAACTCATAAACGGATGGAGAGCATTGGTATAGTCTGTCTCCGTACATCCGATTGATTACTTTTGCAATTGCTGAAACTGAGCAATTCAACGTGAATTCATTCGTGTCACTAAATAAAGTTCCACGATTCTGTTTAAAATAAGAAATATTCAAATATTTCCTGATCAGTGAATTTAGTGAATAAGTACACTTCGAAGTCTGGTATTATATTGATCTATATCTCTATAAATGCTATGCCATCTTGGAAGTTTCTTACGTTGTAGAAACACTGTAAAAGAAACTTTTCATTTTACAATTGAAATATAACGTAGCAATATCTTTTGTACAAAAGAATATTCACCCTGGTTTCTTTCTCATTTAATGATTAATTTTCAGTATATAACTTTACATCAATGTTGAAATATTTCTACGCAAAAGGTGCGTAAAAATCAATAATTTAAGTACCAGTTTATTAATTTCATTATGCTAATTTAATTTATTTTTAATTTATAATTTAATTTATTGTAATTTATTAGTTCATGCAATAAGGGACTGAATATCAGGATAAGCATAATTTTAACTGTTGGTCCTGTAATACGTAATGAATAGCTGACGCGTTTTACTGCAAATTTATCGAGACTCTTTTGTCTATTCAGATGAAAGAATCTATAATAAATATTCTCAAAATCATTAAAATCTATATAATCAATTTTATCTCCTTGATCAACTACCCATGAAAATTAAGTAAACATGTAACTTCTACCTCAAGGGCACAAGCTATGTGTAAAAATCTCATCATTAAAATTATATTCCAATCCTATACTCATCACATCGAAAATGATGAGAACTTTTCGAATTTTAATGAAATTTTAGTTAAATTTAAAATTTTATTAATTGAATCGATCGACGAAAAAAAATTTCGTCCAAAAGTATAGCATTCGATGAAACACGTAATGTAAAATAAAATTTAATAAATTATAAAATTATATTCTGCACAGCTAATTCGATATAAAGTTTTATTGCTTTAATCATAGATTCTATTGCACTTTATAATGCAAGGCTATTAAATTAATTATCTTCATTCTTTTTCGTGCCATTTTCGATTCTATTATATCTTCCTATCGTTAATAAATTTCTTAATTTTTCTAATTTAAATTTTTCCAACGATTTTATCAAAACATTAAAGATCTTTTCGTTCGTTAAAGTGAGATAAAAAAATCACAGAAGTTCAACTATGTTATTATTAGTTAAAGGAGTAGTTTAATAATCAAGCTGTGTTGCTTTTTCTTTCTGGAACGAACTACGGACTACAAGTTTAAATTATTGCATCGAAGGATCGATACGATGCATTCGAAGCAAAGGAATTGTATAAGATAAGAGTTGCTCTCGAGCATCGTGCC